TGTCAAGAGTTCCCGAAAAACGGAGGGTTCATCGATCATGATGCAAGAATCACCGATCAGAGGAAACTGTTTTTGCTCGGATCATTGTGCGCTAAATGATTATAGCTTTACCCATGTGAAAGATCAAAGTTGTGTATGTAAGTCATCGATCGAGTTGCGATACTTGATGAACTTCTAGGTTAGTGTATGCGGGATGCCACGAACAGACTAGAGCTGTCAAATTATAGAGGTATGTGTCCGGACCAAATTTCATTGAAGTGAAAAGCTCGCATATACACTATCCCAACATAATTAGTTCTGCTTTGTAGTTGTAAGAGATGTAGTGCAATTACTTCATACCTTCATGGTACTGTCACTGTCATAGTACGTCAATACAACTTTAACCAAACTCTTTAGGACTTCTTTTCCTCTGTCATAAACTGTAAAAGCTATTGTTTCGCTCCGTTTATGAACAAACTATTGTTCATTCAAGGGAGCTCTTTGAATCTACATGAATGCATACACCAAGATACAACCACTACCACTACGATAATTCTAATATCCGCTTTTACTTCGCAAAGTATTTCATTGATAGTCATGCAGAGAAAGCAATTAACATAATTTTGTCCACTTCCATTCGATTTTACCTATAATATGTGTCATTCTATCGAAATCGACTGTTATTTATCAATGAAGTCGGCTTCACATGTTCACATATCCTTCCATTTAAGTTCACTGCCAGGTTCTTCAGAAGCCGTTTGAATAAATTCCGCGCATCCGTCAGCTGCACTCGGACAACATTGACTTTACCTCATCCTTGGTTCATGTTACAAAATAATGGATACATTTCGATCGGGTTGCAACTTCTCGTTGGTGAATCTTTGTAAACTTAGGCGAACGGCGTATCATTTACGTTGTTTTGCTTTAGGACAACCTAACCTGGCACGAACCGGCAAGAAAGACAGTCACAATCTGCATTTGATACTGTCAGTGGTCGACAGCATACAACTCTGAAAAGCGCAACTGGAGAAATATGGAGTTAGGTAGATAGGATGGTTTTGTGTCTGAATATGTTTGATATTCTTAGGGTAAGAAGAGACGGTGATTGAGCTGGAACAGAATAATAAACCAAGATTAGTTAATCGGAGTATGAAATGGAGCCGAATCGTTGGAGAAGGTTGCATTCTAGTTCTTGATAACAAATAAGTATGGAATACGGACGCCCAAATTATAGGAACAATATACGAGCTTGTGTATGCCTACACGTGTCACCCAACATGGATACAAATGTTTTGGCTCAACAATCAGATGCTAATTTTAACCAACTAACATGTACTTTACATTCCGCATTTTCGAGCTCTTCAATGTTTAACTTCATTTCAATGACGAGGATGTAAATAAAGCGGAACGTCTTAATACAACACTTAGCCGTTAATGTGTATCACTATCATCCAGTCATTTTTCGTGGCTGAACGGGCTTTATTCGCGTTAAAATCAATGACAGATTTGTTGTCATGCGGTGCATAGCGATCAAGTTTTTTATGCAGATTCATACAAATCTGTTCACCTCCAAGTCATTCGTTTCCGGTTAGAATTTTTTCATCACAAGTATCTCAAGTTGTTCCTACCGCTTTCTTCAATTCGCCTCTCATAGATTCCCTTCATGTTATCAATCTGCTAAACATATCAAACACTTCTGGAAATCTGCGAACAATTTTTAGTAACTTGCCAACTAATCCAATCGAATAAGAGTGTTCCAGTGCAGGGATACATGGTTTTAAATCAAGCGATTTAAATCTGCGGAATTAGTGCATTTATCAGGCATATATATGTGTGTATGATTGAACTGGGTCTTTCAGGTTGAACATTTGCCACTCCGAATAATTTTTCCGCTATTTGCCTCAACGATGAGAGAACAACATTAAATGCGTTTTTATTTACACTACTTTTAAGTAGCTTGCTAAGAAAGATAGCATTTATCATGGTGTACTACACCGAAATATAAGTCAGAACGCAGGCACCCTCAGTGAATTCAACCTTTGGATATGACCCTAAATGAATTTCTGCGCAACTATACGGGTTAATCTATAAAACATGTTCTTAGTATTACTAAGGCATCTTAAATTTTGAAAACGTCGTGCACACTGTTGCGAATGTGTTTATTTCAGTGAGATTAGATCAGAAACAAATCGCGATTTGAATAATTGTTGATTGGATCAAATAAAATCATTTTAATTGACAAAGGAGTTTCTAATGTGTTTTGCTTGCCACAAAACATTGTGCAGTTAAAGAGAAGGTGGAAAAGCGTTGTCCAACATTCCTCATGAATCCTAGCAACCTAGAATGAGTCAGAACGAGGGTTCCATCGTTTGCATCTTTAGAATAATTGTATGACCAAATATAATGTTCATAAACATATACTTAACAGAACTGACTGACCACAAAATGGTACCAAATAATCTACTGCTGCCGGCTCGGTGAAATGTCATTCCTCGTCTCCAGCCAACCGGTTGTAGGATATTCTTAACAAAGGCCTGGTGAATAGAGACTCCCCCTCTGCCCGATGGATCCTCTCCCTCAATCCCAACGGTTTCATGTTCATAATCAGCTCTTTTCACATACTCTACTAATAGTCCATAAAATATATTAATTCGACCGGAGGTAAACCCCACTTTTCACAGTAAAATATAACAGAAATAACCACAATGTTTTGCAATGCAAAACATTCTTCATTATCAGGCAATTCATAGACTCAAGGAAGATGTTTTGCTTAGAATGCACGTTATATGAGAGAGAAATGCATCAATTGCAACCAATTATTATGTTTATATTTGGTTTCACTTCCCTTCTACCTAAATTGTTCAGTAGAAGCACTAAGGGTGTTTTTGTAGTTTCACGAAGGACCGCCATAAACTTTCATTTATGAATTATAAAAGCAGAGATTGGAATAAAATTTGATAGAAGTTGCTTCTTCCACAGTAGCCATTCGATACCTTAGTCCGATTGATGTTCAGTGTACCAATTGGGAGATGGTTTACCGCTTCGAAGGAACTGTTTTGCTCAGAACATCATGCAAAATGCACCTAGGAGGTACGATGACATCATAACTGAAGACTGGTGATAACACTGACAGGGTCTGCGCTAATGCATGGTATTTTGAGACCTAATAATCGAGCTTTCGATCAACTAATAAATGCCTTCAGGGCGCTGTACGCCTCCCACTTCAGACCGATATTCGAGTACGGTGGTGCGGCAAAGTAATTTTGCACGGCTGCTAAGCTGGTCAAGTAGGAACGTGTGCAATGTGATTCCATCAGACTGGTTATCAAACTACTATGAGGTCGTCCAAAGGTTTCTGGTTTATTCTAAGTGGAGACTTGGTGAATATGCGGGGGTTTGATCAGCCTGAGAAGGATCCTGGGGGTTGATATGGACCCGCAGCTGCACGTGAGTGCCCTCTCTTCACATCGCAGAAGCTTCAGTCAGTCGATCTCCCACTGATTTTCCGCCCTTCGAGGAGATCGTTATCCTTCTGGAATTCCCTTTCAGTATTAGTGGTGGAAGAGTTGACTGACACTGCTTTCAAGAAGCGTTTGGACAGGTACCTTCAGGGATTGAGCAGTGACGATCGGCCATTCGATACAGATAGCAATCCAAATTGATATGATGTGGAAAACGAGACACCACTGACAGAATCAAGGGATTTCGTATAATCACAAAACGCTAAAGTCAAAAGATATTCCGATATTCCGATGCCCTAATCATCAGTTGGATGATGCATTCCAAAGGCCAGTGTGACACAATTTACTCTGCGTTGTTATTTGTGATTTTGTACGGATTTAACCACAAATACACCCATTGACCTCCTCTAATTACCGGTATCCCGAATAAACAAAGATTATTTTTTCTTACTCTCCTCCCGACAATTATCTGCCTACGTAACACATTTATTTTTCCTCGGACATTTTTGGACACTCCATGAATCATACAAATTATATTGCTAATGCATTAATTACCCCAAATTGGCGATAACTTGATTGTTACCTTATTGCTCAATAACCAACATTCGATTACAATCTGTATTGTTTTCTTCTCCATGCCAGGATCATATAAATTTAATCAGATTGTTATTCTGGTTTTCCTTAAATGATTGAATGTCCACAATTATCGAAACAATTCAGGGGTGATTTTTCCTGTAATTACTAAACAATTTACATGTAGAATATGTATCACTAAATGGCAATGGATTCTACCTAGTCATTTATTTTGGTCCCATACTTTGTATTTTATTTCAATCGAAACAACGGCCACTCACTGATAAGTTAGTTCGCCGACTGTTCCATCGTATGAGTAAAGCAATCAGAGAAACACCTGTGATTAATAAGAGCAACTCAATAATGCTTATTGTAAGACACCTTGACAAAACGTGGACACATGGCTCATCACTGCACACAGAAAAAAGGTTAATCAGTGTTGGTGGTGGTGTGTTCTCCGAGCTGGGAGACGTTTTGTAGCCAGGCTAGGCAACATCATCAGTGCAACTTCGGGGAAGCGCCGGTCCTCAGTGTGACCGCGCTTATATAGTACTGAGGACCGGCGCTTCCCCGAAGTTGATCTGATGATGTTGCCTAGCCTGGCTTCGAAACGCCTACGAACAATACTCCCAGTTCAGAGAACACACCACCACCGACATCCACATCCCGAGCTACAATCGTTCCATATTATTACCAAAGCTAATCAGTGATTAGTAACTTACTTTATTCGACGTTTCGTGCCTAATCCCCCCCCCGTGTTTGGTTTACATACAGTGAATAAAAGGTTCTTGGTATACTTTAAGGGTTTTGCAACTAACCCACTCGTTCACTGTGCTTAGCAAATTGTAATAGCAGCATAAAGGTTGCACGTGAGGGTAATGAATGACAGTGTCAAACACCCGACAACTTCACTTGCGGCAAATACGGAATGATAACACTCGTTCGAAGTTCATTCCAAATTTTTTGGAACTCAGGTTTTTGTTCAGATTATGTTTGTCGTTCAAAGTACAACTCTAGACTGTAAGAGAACTCACGTTCAATGAGTCCCCAACCGATACTGAAAGGCTCGCCAAACTGAGGCCCGATTGCATAATGCAGAATCAAACCGGTAATCCAAACAAAGGCTGTACGTAATGCATCGATTAGGGTTCGATGGACGGCTGCAAGATGGGAAAAAGGGTGGGAACGTCTGATAAATGATTTATTAATTTCGTGATTTTAGCCATCATCACCGTCATCAATATGATAATAATAGCAAGAATAACAATAAACATCAGTTATTATCGTCAAAGCATAGCAGGTCCAGATTATATGAAGCAAGGCACCGGATGAAAATTAGTATTTATCAGTGAAAAAGGGAGAGAAACTGTTACTTTGGTGTTTTTCATAGGTTTCAGCAGCTATCACTTAGTTTAAAAGAAAATTAATTTTGCCATGGCCTTATTAGGATTTTACATCGAAAGGGAACTTACTGCTTAGAGATTTGGCAATTTCAAAACCACAATAGTTGAACCAAGCCATTGAAATTAAATATAAAATGCTATTGATCAGGAGAGTCGTATTACTTCCGATTTGCACTATAGCATCTAGAATATTCTCGTACGATCCATTGATATCGGATCCAGGGGCCATATGTACAATCGGCAGGGCAATCTAAAAATTGAATTAGTATTGGACGCATAGAGTGGTAGTAATTTGAAAAGTTAAAAACATTTCGCATATACTGCATTCAGGTTCTTGCGAACTGCTCCCGGCACTCTCAGGCATTATTCAGATTTCATCTCTAAGGAAAAAGTATTTCAGTGCGCATTCGTCTCCTCTCTATCCTCTCGGTTTTATCCTCATCCGTAATGATTTCAAATCCAAACAACTTCAAATGATTGTTGTGCAATCTGCGCTCATGCAAGTGAATACACCTGAGGCTAGTGTAACAATACTTCCGAATAGCGAAAGTTCAAACATGAACGAGAATGAAGTAAATGCAACTCAAATGTATCATTTAGAGCGGATGTGATCAATTATTTTATCACATGACTTAGGTCTTCGAAAAGTAGAATATAGGACAATGTCACAAAGATGAACTATTCAGTCTGAGCAGAATAAATTTTGTGTTGCAGACCAGATTCGCAACTGTTTGATGAAAAAAGTAATCAGGATACTAAAATAATTTTCACTTCGACAGCTAACTTGGACAGACTAGGTTCATAGAAAATACGAGTGAACAGGGTGATACCAAAGTTATCATGTGCATAGTAAACTGAGTGGATTAAACCAGCAAAGTCTGTTGCTTTTAAATAAAATGGTGTGACAGTATCATTCAATTTTCGCACACAGAAAAATAGTCCCGTGTCACTCATTCACAGAAAGTTTCA